AGTCCCAGCTACTCAGGAGGCTGAGGCAAGAGAATCACTTGGGCCCAAGAGTTTGAGGTTGCTGTGAGCTATGATGCCATGGCACTCTACCCAGGTGACAAAGTGAGACTATCTCAAAAACAAACAAACAAAAAAAGAACAGAATACCTTTCACCCCCTCCCCTGTGTGCCTGCCTTCCCGCTCATCTTCTCTTACTCAGAAGTGGGGGTGTCCCTTTGTCCCTCAACCTCTTGAGGTCAATCCTGTCTCTGTGCATAGTCTCATCTTATCCCTCGGGCCTTACCCCTTCTGGCCTGTAAGCTTGCCCCCTGCATGCTCTTTCTACCTTTTTCCAAAGCTTGCCTCTCCTTTCTCTCTCTCTCTCTCTCTTTTTTTTTTTTGCAGTTTTTGGCTGGGACTGAGTTTGAACCCACCACCTCCAGTATATGGTGCCAGTGCCCTACTCCTTTGAGCCACAGGCGCCGCCCCGCCTCTCCCCTTCTCATCTGCTCCCAGCCTCCCCCAATTCTGCCCTCACCATGCTTATTCAGGCACCTTCTAGATCTCAAAATCCAAGGAGTGCTTTTCGGTTCTTTATCTTACATGCCTTTTTGGTGACCTTTTGACCAGTCCTGCTGTGACACTCCTTCCTTTGTGCCTGTGTCTTACCATCCTCCACTTTCAGTGGGAGAGTCCTCCTCCCCATCCTGAGCACCACGTCATGGGCCCAGCAGGCCCAAAGGGACCTTACCCCCCACACAACAGGAGCCCCTTTTCCAGCCTGTGTGGCCTCTGGAACAGCTGTTTCTAGCCAGAACCTCAGCAGTCCTGCCTGGACCCTTGCCCTGCCTCCTCCCACCTGCAGTCCCTTACTGTGGTCCCCGCCTCCTCCCACCTGCAGTCCCTTACTGTGGTCCCCACCTCCTCCCACCTGCAGTCCCTTACTGTGGTCCCCGCCTCCTCCCACCTGTAGTCCCTTATTGTGGTCTCTCCATTTTCTTTTTTTTCCTGACAGAGTCTCACTTTGTCACCCCTGGTAAAGTGCTCTGGTATCACAGCTCATGGCAACCTCAAACTCTTGGGCTCAAACAATTCTCTTGCCTCAGCCTCCCTAGTAGCTGGGACTACAGGTGCCCACCAGAACACCTGGCTATTTTTAGAGACAAGTATCGCTCTGACTCAGGCTGGTCTCGAACCGTGAGCTCAGGCAATCTACCCGCCTCAACCTCCCAGATCCTTCTTACTTCTCAAGGTCAAGCCCATCCCCTGCCTCTTTTCTATTCCTGCAGTGTGAGTACAGACCAGTGCCATCTCCTAGGTAGATTATTCCATCAGCTGTCCATGGGTTCTCTCTGACTCTAGTCTTGAACCTTTTCTAACCAGTTCCTCACTGAAGTCAGAGATAGACTCCTAAACCCAAGTGTGGATGTATCACCTCTTTGCGGACACCCTTGGGGCTCCTTGTGGCCTATAGAACAAAGACTAAGCCCTTTAGCTTGAGAGTTTAAGCCTCCTGGCCTCTCCCACGGGTGTGCCCCTTCTTCTTACAAAGGGCCTCTGGCCAAGCAGAAGTTGCTGACGGTCTCCAAGACACTACACTCTTTCACTGCATGCATGCAGCTTTTGTTCCCAGGTGGTCTCTACCTTGTCTACCTGCAGTTCCCACTCCCCCAGGGAATGCTTTGTGGGGCCTGAGTGGTTCTTTATCTGTAATTTATCAGCTTTGTAGGCAAAGGCGGCTCTTCTGGTCTCTGACCTCCCTGTATCCTCACACCAGCACAGGGCCAAGCAGGGTGGGGCCTTCAGTTGAAGTTGATGCCATTGAACTTGCTGAATGAGACCCTTCCCCCCACAGATAAGCTATGAGGCCAGCAGCATGTCACTCAGTGTGAAGCGGCAGTATCCCTCTTTTCTGCGCACCATCCCCAGTGACAAGTACCAGGTGGAGACCATTGTGCTGCTGCTGCAAAGGTTCCAGTGGGTCTGGATCTCGCTGGTTGGCAGCGAAGGTGACTATGGGGAGCTGGGTGTGCAGGCGCTGGAGGACCAGGCCACCAAGCAGGGGGTCTGCATTGCTTTCAAGGACATTGTGCCATTCTCTGCCCAGGTAGGTGACGAGAAGATGCAGAGCATGATGCGCCACCTGGCCCAGGCCAGGACCACTGTCGTGATTGTTTTCTCCAACCGGCAGTCAGCCAGGGTGTTCTTTGAGTCTGTGGTGCTGGCCAACCTGACAGGCAAGGTGTGGGTAGCCTCAGAAGCCTGGGCCATATCCAGACACATCACTGGAGTACCTGGGATCCAAGGCATTGGCATGGTCCTGGGTGTGGCCATCCAGCAGAAGCTTGTCCCTGGCTTGAAGGAGTTTGAAGAGGCCTATGCCAGGGCAGACAAGGGGGCCCTCAGGCCTTGCTCCAGGGGCTCCTGGTGCAGCAGCAATCAGCTTTGCAGAGAATGCCAAGCTTTCAGGACACACTCGATGCCCACACTTGGAGCCTTCTCCATGAGTTCGGCCTACAACACCTACCAGGCTGTGTATGCTGTGGCCCATGGCCTCCACCAGCTCCTGGGCTGCGCCTCCGGAGCCTGTTCCAGGGGCCAAGTCCACCCCTGGCAGGTAAGAGAGTCCAGCCCTAGGCACCCTGTGCCAGCAGACACAGTCAATTATTAGACAAGCAGAGAGGGCACTATCTGGCCTAAGTGCCAGGGTCTCTTCTCTCAGGCAAACGTTTCTCATCTTTGAACCTTGCCTTCTCTGAACCACCCATCATACCTTAGAAGTGTCATAGGACAAGATCCCAGGCTAAAAATGTCTGTAAGGGGTTCTTTGTTAGAGGCCTCCTCTCAGGGGGCTTCCTAGGAGGGGAGAGACTCTGAGAAGGGGTCCAGACTTTCTGGTTGGGCTGGTGAGTGGGCTGGCCCTAGCTTTCTGGGCCATCTGGGTCTGTGGTGTCTACCACAACCTCATGATGTGTTTGTTTCAGCTTCTAGAGCAGATCTACAAGGTGAATTTCCTTCTACATGAGGACACTGTGGCGTTTAATGACAATGGTGACCCCCTCAGTGGCTATATCATCATTGTCTGGGACTGGAGTGGGCCCAAGTGGACCTTCACGATTGTTGGCTCCTCCACATGGTCTCCAGTTCACCTGGATATAAATGGCTCCTCCACCTGGTCTCCAGTTCACCTAGATATAAATAAGACCAAAATCCAGTGGCAGGGAAAGGACAACCAGGTAATGGGGATGTGGTCACTCACCAGGTGATTGCCTCAGGGGCAGCCTGGAGCCTGGGGGTGATGCTGGCACAGCATACACAGAGGAGGAGGGGGATGCCAGGTGTCAGGTTAACATTGCTCTGTCCAGCCTTGCCAGGAAACCTGGCAAGATACTCCATGGGCAGGGAAGATACTCTGCAGGCAAGGGAGATACCCTGCAGGCAAGGGAGATACCCTGCAGGCTAGGGAGATACCCTGCAGGCAAGGGAGATACCCTGCAGGCTAGGGAGATACCCTGCAGGCTAGGGAGATACCCTGCAGGCTAGGGAGATACTCTGCAGGCTAGGGCATAGATGCCCAGTTGGTGTTGGTTTATATGAGCAGAAGCTCTGCCTGGGAGTGAGCCCTGAGGACAGATGCTCAGGTTCATCTGAGATGAACAGATTCAACAGATGCTCTGTTTTCTGTCCCGCATGTGAGCTGTTTTTTTTGTTTTTTTTTTGACTTGGACCCCTCTGTGTGGCTGCAGAACACCTGTGGCTTCTTATAGGTGCCTAAGTCTGTGTGCTCCAGTGACTGCCTTAAAGGGCACCAGCGAGTGGTTACAGGTTTCCACCACTGTTGCTTCGAGTGTGTTCCCTGTGAGGCTGGGACCTTCCTCAACAAGAGTGGTGAGTGATCAGGGGAGTGGGTGGGCTACCCAGCCTGCCTGGGGACTGCACCCTGGACGGAAGGACCTCCCTGTGTGCCCTGCATACACACCCAGCCCCAGAACTGGAGCCTCAGTCAGTGAGCTGCCAGTTAGGTCCAGGGTGAAGGACACTTGCCACCACCCTGGTCAAGCAGAAATAATCAACCAACTGAAAGGCTTAGACTGAGGTATGTCTGCAATCTTGTATTTATTTATTTATTTATTTACTGAGACAGTCTTACTTTGTCACCCTCAGTAGAGTGCCATGGCATCACAGCTCACAGTAACCTCAAATTCTTGGGCTCAAGAAATTCTCTTGCCTTAGCCTCCCTAGTTGAACGAGCCCTGGAGCATGTGGCCTGCGCCCTAACCACTGTGCTACTGGTGCCCCTACAGATGCAATCTTCTCCTGAATTCAACCTCTTTTTCAAATGGATGTAGCTACTTTTCCCTTTGTGTCTTCTTGTCCTATCCTCCCTTCTATTGCCAGTGCCAAAGACAGCTAGTTCCTTGAACAGCTTGACTTAGAAGGAGATATTAGCATGTTTACAGCAAAAAAGCAAACCAAAACAATACAACAACAAAAAATCCAAACCCAAACCTGAACAAATAAAACCCAACAATGAACAAAGACCAGTATGCCCCAGTATGCCTCAGAGAGCAAAGTAGGAAGCTAAGGAAGGACTCAGCCTAGAGCTGGAGCCCTAGGGCCACATTTTTCCTTTTACTATCCCTGCAGGGATGGGAATGCATTTCTTCTGTCTTCAAAGAACCAGGACTGGAGAAACCACAGAGCTCTGGAAGGAGGGTTTGGTTAGTGGAAGTGGTATAGGAAAGATGAAAATTCCTTTCCTTTAGGGCTGGCTCCCATTGGATCATAGCTAATAGCATGGTGTGTGGTAGCAGAGCTACCAGGGCAAGGCTCCTAGGGACCACTTGATTTGCCACCCTTGCTGGGATCATGCGCCATATAGTACTTACCCATATGTCTCCAGAGTCTGCAATTAACACAGGATTTTTCTTTTTTTTGAGACAGAGCCTCAAGCTGTCCCCCTGGGTAGAGTGCTGTGGTATCCCAGCTCACAGCAACCTCCAACTCCTGGGCTCAAGCAAGTCTCCTGTCTCAGCCTCCCAGGTAGCTGGGACCACAGGCTCCTGCCACAACGCTCGGCTATTTTTTGTTGTTGTTGTTGCAGCCGTCATTGTTGTTTGGTGGGTCCAGGCTGGATTCAAACCCACCACCTTAGGTGTATGTGGCTGGCGCCTTAGCTGCTAGAGCCACAGGCGCCAAGCCTAACACAGGATTTTTGAGGAAATGCTTGGCTTCAGGCCTCACTGCTGACCTACCCTAACCTACCCTCACTGCTGATCTCTCTACCCTACCCTCACTGCTGATCTCCCTACCCCCATTGTGGCTGCAAGGCCTTAGCTGCCACGGTACTGTTCTCCCAGCATGTTGCAGGCCAGCATGAACTCCCTCTCACCAACTCTCAGGAACCTTATCTGCCTTCCTTTTCCAGACCTCTACAGCTGCCAGTCTTGTGGGAAAGAAGAGTGGGCACCTGAGGCAAGCCAGACCTGCTTTCCACGCACTGTGGTGTTTTTGGCTTGGCATGAGCACATCTCTTGGGTGCTTCTGGGAGCTAATACGCTGTTGCTGCTGCTGCTGGTTGGGGCTGCTGGACTGTTTGCCTGGCACCTAGACACCCCTGTGGTGAGGTCAGCTGGGGGCCACCTGTGCTTCCTCATGTTAGGTTCCCTGGCCGGGGGTAGCTGCAGCCTCTATGGCTTCTTTGGGGAGCCCACACTGCCTGCATGCTTACTGCGCCAAGCACTCTTTGCCCTTGGTTTTGCCATCTTCCTGTCCTGCCTGACAGTTCGCTCCTTCCAACTGGTCATCATTTTCAAGTTTTCCACCAAGGTACCCATGTTCTACCGTGCCTGGGTCCAAAACCATGGTGCTTGTCTGTTTGTGCTGATCAGCTCAATGATCCAGCTACTTATCTGTCTAACTTGGCTTACGGTGTGGACCCCACTGCCCACCAGAGAATATCAGCGCTTTCCCCAGCTGGTGATGCTTGAGTGCACAGAGGTCAACTCACTGGGCTTCATGCTGGCCTTCGCCTACAATGCCCTCCTGTCGGTCAGTGCTTTTGCCTGTAGCTACCTGGGCAAGGACCTGCCAGAGAACTATACCGAGGCCAAATGTGTCACCTTTAGCCTGCTCCTCTACTTTGTGTCCTGGATCACCTTCTTCACCGTGGCCAGCGTCTACCAGGGGAAGTACCTGCCCGTGGTCAATGTGCTGGCCGCGATGAGCAGCCTGAGCAGCGGCTTCAGTGGCTATTTCCTCCCCAAATGCTATGTGATCCTCTGCCGCCCAGATCTAAATAGCACAGAGCACTTCCAGGCCTCCATCCAGAACTACACAAGGCGCTGAGGCTCCACCAAGCCTGCAAGCAGGACTGTGACCGGGCCTGAAGGTCGAAGGTTGAGCAGGCGCGTGGTGTCCCAGAGGCCCTGGGTTCCTCTGACTTGGGTTGGGATGGGTAAGCGCCGGGGAGAGCCCAGTTCGGGCTGCGGGGGCTGCCAATAAAGAGGTGAAATACGTGTTGGCTGATCTTCCTGTCTAGGGAGGAGTGGTGTCACCTCTTTAAGTCTCAGCCCAGAGCTGAGCTTTGGCCGGCGCCCGGCTTGCCGTTGCTAGGCAACTCGGAGGGCGAGTTCCGCACCCAAACATTTGGGTCTGGACCCGCCCCTTGCTGCATCCCATTGGCGGTTCTCGGACTCTCCCGTCCTCCGCGTTGGAGCTGAACTCTACGTCACCAGGCCGCCCCGCCCCGCCTCGCGCGCCCTGACGTCACATCCGGCGCAGCGACGGCGGCGCCTCCGCACGGCGGGCCGGGCACGCACGGCTGGGGCAGTTGGTTCGTGGGCTGTGGAAGCGACAGAACGCGGGGCTGGTGGGGCCGTCGCAGAGAAGACAGGCCAGGGTGAGGAGGACGAGGGGCGAGGGGGGAAGAGGCTGCGGGCCGCTACGGCCGCTGACGGGAGTGTGGCGCGGCCGCCTTCCGCCCGGTGGCTCAGGACCTGTGGGCGCGGCGTGGGCTCCGCTCACCTGTCTGCGGCCGCCACCCTCTTCTGTCCAGGGCCTTCTTGCTGTGAGCAGCCCATCAGTTCGCGCACGTCCTGTTGCTTCTTTTCCCAAAACTTTAATTCCTTCCACCAGTCCCCTTCACGACCCTGTCCCGTTTCCCCCCATGTCCCCTTTCCGTAGTTCGCCTGCGCCCTCGCCCCCTCTGGCGACTCCAATATAGTCCCCGCCCCCTGAGGTGGTTGGTCTGTTTTTCTCCGCGTGCAACTTCTAACCTTGACCTAAGCCCTCATTCTGATAGATGTGAATATCTGAACAGAATCTGACTTACCCTTTCTTTTCAAATCCAGGGGTTATTCTCTTGCATACCCTCCGTTGGGCTGTCCAGGGTGTCACTTCTGCCTTCCTGTTCTTCGGATCATGGACGGCTCCTTCGTCCAGCACAGTGTGAGGGTTCTGCAGGAGCTCAACAAGCAGCGGGAGAAGGGCCAGTACTGCGACGCCACCCTGGACGTTGGGGGCCTGGTGTTCAAGGCTCACTGGAGTGTCCTTGCCTGTTGCAGCCACTTCTTCCAGAGCCTCTACGGGGATGGTTCCGGGGGTAATGTTGTCCTCCCTGCTGGCTTCGCTGAGATCTTTGGCCTCTTGTTGGACTTTTTCTACACTGGTCACCTCGCCCTCACCTCCGGAAACCGGGATCAGGTGCTCCTGGCAGCCAGGGAGTTGCGAGTGCCTGAGGTTGTGGAGCTGTGCCAGAGCTTCAAGCCCAAAACCTCAGTGGGACAGGCACCAGGTGGCCGGAGTGTGCTGGGGAAACCTGCCTCCCCTGATGTCAACAGCCACCTCAAGGAGCCAGCAGGCTTGGAGGAAGAGGAAGTTTCCAGGACTATGGGTGTAGTCTCCAGAGATCAGGAGCCCAGAGGCAGTCACAGCCCCCAGAGGACCCAGCTCCGTCCCCCTGCTCAGAGTGAGAGCCCCTCTTTCCTCCCCGGGAAACTCAAGCAGGCCCTGAAGCCTTGTTCCCCAGAGGACAAGGAGCCTGAGGACTGCAAAGTGCCCCCAAGGCCCTTTGAGGCTGAAGGGGCCCAGCTGCAGGGCGGAAGTAATGAGGTACTGTGCCCAGGGTGCTGGAACTAGGGAGATAAGAGTAAGGGGAAAAGACTGAGACTTTATGGGGATAATCTTGACCCTAAGGCAGAATCTCTATTATGTAGATTTGGAACAGACTTTCTCCAAACCAAGGAAGCTGGTGACGACAGGCTGACCTTTTATTGGTCACAGCCATCCATAGTTGGCAGTTTCCTGGGAGTTGAGAGCAGCATCAGGATTACAAGTGCTTTCCTAGGACAGGGAAATGCAGCCAGGCTTCCACTTCCCCACAAGTAGAGCCACTTTCTTCCAAATTGAAGATGCAGATGCTTTCTTCCCTGGGCCCCTGAAGGAAACAGTTCCTGATGAAGGGACTTGTTTGGGTTGGGAATAGAACTGGAGCTGAGTCCCCACAACAGTCCCCCCCTGTTGATTTATTTGGTGACCCAGCCCCCTCCTGCTGCCTCTTCTGCCCTAGTGGGAAGTGGTGGTTCAAGTGGAGGACGACGGGGATGGCGATTACATTTCTGAGCCTGAGACTGTGCTGACCAGGAGGAAGTCAAATGTAATCAGAAAGCCCTGTGCTGCCGAGCCAGCCCTGAGCGCAGGTTCCCTAGCAGCTGAGCCCGCTGAGAACAGAAAAGGTACAGCGGTGCCGGTTGAATGCCCCACATGTCATAAAAAGTTCCTCAGCAAATATTATCTTAAAGTTCACAACAGGTAAACGTTCTGTTTTTCTATTTTCTTTTCCTGTCTGCTGTTCCCATGTTGGGGGAGGGATCCTGTGCTTCCCACTTGGTGCCTGGCGTTGGCACAGTTCTGGTCATCAGGGAGTTAGAACCTAGCTTTGGGTGGGATCCTTCCCCTCCTGCTGTGTCAGTCCTCTGGTTGTAGATAGGTTTGTGAATACCTTGTCAATAGGTACCACCCACTGTGGACCTTGCCCTCCAGCTGGCTTCTGCCAGCGGAAGCCTCTAGCCCCTGTACTGGAGCTCAGGCCTGACCTTAGGTATTATTAATTAAAGTTAAATTAAAAATTCAGTTTCGTAGACACACTAAGCCAAATCTCAAGTGCTTAGGAGCCTCGTGGCTCCTGGCTACTGTATTGGACAGTGTAGACAGAACATTGCCATCATCAGAGAGTTCTCTCTTGGGCAGTGCTGCTCCAAAGTTCCAGTGAGGCCTCTGAGAATGGCAGTTAGGTGATCTGCCTTCTAGTCCTGTCACTCCCCACCCAAACCATCACTAATCCATTACAGTGCACTTTCTTGCCTAGCCAGGTTTGGCCACAAATCTTTCCTTACTGTGACACTCAAGGCACCAGTGATCACCTGAAATTAGAACTGAAATTGAGGTGAAATCAGTTTGCTATACCTGTACACTTTGCTTTGTGGCAGCTGCCACCAGTGGAATCTTTGGGTAATCTCAGAGTATGGGGAACCCTAGGGCAGTTGTTCTGCCCGACATTCTGCAGGCTAAGAGGATGTTTTGGTGGGGGATAAAGACAGTTGGTGTAGCGGAGGGAAGTGTTCTGCCTCTAGCTGGTTGTAAGAGTTCTCAGAGTGGCACACACAGGCTCTGTGATTGGTTCATTCAGTTCATTTGTTCTACAAACTGTGAGGCAGCTGATGAGACTTGTGGGCGCTCTGGAGTCATCAGTGAACAAACAATGGTCCCTTGTTGAGCATCCCTCTTAGCAGGGTGATGCAGATGACAAGTAAATTTGTGTGTGATAGACAGTGAGAAGTACTGTGGAAAAAGAAAAAGAGAAGGACCCAGGGGGTGTGGGGTTCAGAGTGGGGTCAGGTTGCAATTTTAATTAACAGTGGTCGGGGAGACTTCCGTAGATGGTAAGATTTGACTCAAAGGCAATGAGGAAGTTGATGTGGGGATGCTAGGTAGCAAAAAGCCAGAGTCAGGGCCCTGGGGTAGCATTGAGCCTGGCGGGTTGATGGACAGCAAGGAGGCAGGTGCCTGATCTGGTGGTGCCTGGCAGGATACCTTGGGAACGAGGCTGGCCCTACAACCCATAGACCCTCCTGTGCCTTTTCTCTGAATTAGGAACTACTGAAGGGCATTGAGCCAAGAGGTGCTGAGGTTTTTTTTTTTTTTTTTGAGAGAAGAGCCTCAAGCTGTCCCCCTGGGTAGAGTGCTGTGGCATCTCAGCTCACAGCAACCTCCCACTCCTGGGCTCAAGCGAGTCTCCACAACGCCTGGCTATTTTTTGGTTGCAGCGGTCATTGTTGTTTGCCAGGCCCAGGCTGGATTCGAACCCTCCACCTTAGGTGTATGTGGCTGGCGCCTTAGCCACTTGAGCCACAGGCGCCGAGCCTTGAGGTTTGACTTATGTTTAAAGGATCCCTCTCTGGCTGTTGGCTGTCAGCTGAAACCTGTTGGGGTGGCAATCAAGGAACAGAGAGACCAGCTGGGCAGCCCATGTGGCAGCCCAGGAGATGCTGCTGTCACACTAGGTGGAAGCAGTGAGTGACACGGTCAGATCTGTCACAAACGTGGAAGCTCTGGGAAGACGGAGGTGTTTCTCTAGGTAGTCAGGACAGGGATTGTTTCTGTCTTCATTCAGAAGGCTGGCCAGGCCTCTTAGCCTCTGTGCCAGTAAGCTCTCTGGTGGCCTCTTAGGGAGGCTGGTGCTGGCTGTCTCCTCTAGTGTGGAGCTGTGATGGGTGGCCCCAGCACTCTCCCTTGGAGAGTCTCCATGCTGCAGAGGGTTTCTGGGCTTGTCCCTACACATTCAGCAGCCAGGGTCTGGCTGTGACCATGTGGTGAGCCAGGAGCCGGCCTCAGAACACTTCTCCCGACCTTGCTGTAGAGCACAGTGCCTGTCAGTCAGAGGGGGCCCGGGATGAGGGAAAGCCGGGAAATCCTCTCAGCCCCCACACCCCATGTGGCTTCTCCTGGCAGGAAACACACTGGGGAGAAACCCTTTGAGTGTCCCAAATGTGGGAAGTGTTACTTTCGGAAGGAGAACCTCCTGGAGCATGAAGCCCGGAATTGCATGAATCGCTCCGAACAGGTACTTGGGAGCTGGCCCAGGTACTTGTGGGCAGGGGCACACTGGCCTCTGTCTTGGTGCCATCTGGGAAGGGCCCCAGGAAACTGTCTCAGAGGGGGACTATAAATGCAAGAGAGCTTGGTATAGGTGGGATCTAGGTCCCAAGTGTAGAAGGGACAGATACAGGAGAGACTTAGTGGGAAGGTTTGCCTTCTCAGACCCCTGGCCCAGCTCTACCTTGCACTTGAGAGAAGGGGAACCTCAGTGGGGTGCTGCTGGGAAAGGCCTCCTGGCTGCTGACCCCACCCCACTGCTGGTCCATGCTGTGGGGACCAGCTAAGCTCCATCTTTCTCTTCCTAGAGGCCTTTTGCTTAGTGCCTGCTGCTCTTTTGTCTGGGCCTGA